ACTTCTTTTGCTACTATCTGTGAGCAGATAATCATCCCTTTGAGAAAACCCTTTGAGAAAAGAACAAGTGAAGACGATGTAGAAGGAATGGCCCATGTCATTTCTTGGCTTCAGAATTTCTCTGCATTCCCGCATATTTATTCTTGCTTCTCTTCTGCTCCTAAATCAAAGTGCTTCCAAATGTTTACAGCAGCTTTATTTTTAGAGACCCCACATGGATGACAACACAGTGCCTATGCACAATTAGACAGAGGAGCAAACTGCAGCATGTCCCTGTGGTGGAATAGCACTCTGCAATGGAAAGGAGCAAGGGAGGGAGAGATGCAGTGACATGGAGGAACCCAACACTAAGGATGCTGAATGAAGGAAAACAGAAAGAAAGAAAGAGCACACAGTGACTGATGTCACTAATATAAAATCTTGGATACTGCAAACTAAGCCATCACAGAAGGAGCAGATCAATGGATGCCTGGGAATAAAGCAGAGAATGGAGAAAAAGTTTATAAAGGGGGAAAAAGACCACAATAATGCATGAAGGTGAGGGGTATTAACATTATTTTGATAGTTATAATAGTTCCACATGTACATACATATGTAGAAACTTGACAAATTGCACACATTGTGTGTGTGTGTGTGTGTGTGTGCGTGTGTGTGGTATTGTTGATGGAACTCACAGTCTTTGCCCTGAGCTATATCCCAGGCTTTTATTATTTTTTTAAATTTTAAAACTAGCTTTTTCTAAGTTGTTAAGTGGCCCAGGCTGAGCTTGGACGTGTTATCCTCCTGCTTCAGCCTCCCAGTGTGCTGGGCTTATAGCACATGCTGCTATGCCTGGCTCTGATTACATACTTCATGATGCACACAGTCTCTTATGTGTCAATTATACATCAATAAACTATTAAAAAAACACTATTTCTTCTTTCTCTGTGACCCACCATTTCTGAACATCTTTTGTCCTATTCTTTTTTTGGTTCCTCTAAAATACTTTGTCAGTTTCCTGGTCATGATTTTCTAACTCTTGTTTTCGTCCTCCCACCGCACAGCCCCCACAGGGACCTTCTCTAGTGCATACACCAGCAAATCTAACCCAACCATCCCACAAACAGCTTTCTCTGATCGCTATTTTTCCAAGTTACTGTCTTTTCCTCATTACCGTAAGAGCTCGTTGTGGGCAAAGAAGACTTAAACTCTAAACATTCATTTATCCCTCCACTCCTGAATCTCTGGCACATCTCCCCTCTGTTCTAGGAAAACTGTGCCCTTCTGGGTCTTCCGCGATGTCTGTAGTACCGGCTTCAATAACGTCCCCCAGGTGTTTATTCTCTATGCTTCTGTGACCCCACACTTCCCTGTTTGATACTTTCAGTCTGAATATCCTACTTATGTGTCATTCAGTAGCTCCTCTTCCTTCAAACTCCACTAGCTATGAGCTCTCCAAACTTCTGCTCTTGTCCTTCTTCTCATTGCCTGTGCTTGACAAACATAGCCATGAGCTCCTCTCCATGTGTGCGCTGTCATACTATCTTTACCTCTGGCTAGTGCCTGGCCACTCACTGCCTTTGAGGAACAGTTCTTCAGGCACCTGACAATTCGTTCTGGCAAGAGATTCTCATGCCGTGTATGTCGTATGGAGCTTTTTGGTGGCCTCACAGCTGAGACACTCAGTCTCAGCCTGAGCACTAGGTGAATGTAACACCTCTCAAGCCAGAGAAAGAGGCATCTCCAGGGCTATGGGGGACTGAACCAGAGGTTTGCATTGTGCTGCTGATGGTGATGACAAGAGTCTGACCTTGAGGAACAGAGTTAGAGAGCAGAAATGAGCACGAGGAAGCAAAGCCAGAAACAGAGCTGGTGTTGGGAGCTGATGGATGTGTGCCAGGAACCAAGCTGTGTCCAAAGTCAGCCTCCTCCTGGGTTTTATACTGTATGAGCCAGTACATTTCCCACTGACTTTCCCATTACTTCTGGCCAGAAATGCACAGTCCCCCAGTCAGACTTTTGAGGTAGATTCCCTCAGATAGTGTTTTCTCCTACCATCACGATACACTAACTCCTCAGAAATATGTGCTGCATTATGATTAAAAGAACACATATCCCATGTTCTCCAGTGGAACAAAAGTCTCTCAGGGAAGCTTCTCTGCATGTTGTTTTATCTTGCTGCAGTGCCTCGGCTCTCTGGACATCCAACATGTTATTTAAATTCAATTGTGCTGATCCCTAAGTCTTCTTGTTTCAGAGCAAGGATGATGAGTATCTCAGCTCCCCAAATGGATTAAGATTTCTTTATGCTAGGCATCATCAACCCTTTATAAGTTTCATTATATAACTATCTGGCTTAAATGGTTTTCAATGGCTTCCCCTTTCTCCCAACATGGATTTCCAACCTATTTCTGGACCCACCAGACTGGCAGGATATAAGGTTCCTGCATTACTCCCAGTTCATCCATGCCAGTGCACCCCAAACTGTCTTCCTACCCATTGAACGTAACTGGCTTTTTGTTAGTACTTTGAATGGATCAAGCGCACCTCAGGCTCATGAGCTTTGATTGTAGACTCCTTCTGCCTGGATATTTTTGTCTTCTTACCTTAAACATTATCTCCTTGAAAAAGTGCTCCTAACTACCCCTTTGTGGGTGGCAACACTGTCTTTTTACCCTCCCATGGTGTCCATTTTTCCTTAAGAACATGCATCAAGCTTCATGGCTACAGAGCTACTTGTTTATATAGCTCTTTGCCATATCTCATCTTCTCACTCTTGCTAACTCTAAGAAACAAAAGGGAAAAATCATGACTGTTTTGTTTGAGTACATCATTTAGTATAAGTCCTGGCCCTATAAGATGTTTAATGAATATATGTGAATGAGTTAATCTTTCACATGGGTTCATTTAATAAGTAATGTCTCACTGGACATTGTTCCAAAACAGCTCACCCAGCCCCTACTACCAATGATAATCACAAAATAACCAGCAAATAATAAGCAACAAGCCCAACACTATTACCTGGTTTTCAGCACTAGAACAACACACACCTGTGAAGAAATAAGCACTTAAAGAGCCTGCCCTAAGGGACAAAGGCCAAACAAAATGATACTAACATCACTGTCCCCAAGAGCAATGAAGAGCAAACAACCCAGATAGATAGCCATCAACGTACAAAAACATGGCCAAAAGTGTGGTTGACCCACACAAAGGAATCTCAAAAGGAATGGGCCCTGACAACATTATGCCAAAGGAAAGAAGTCAGCAGCAGAGGCGAACTTGGAAAAGCACACAGATAGAAAGCAGACTAGGGCTATCACACTTGGGACCCCTACTGGAAATATCAAAGAGCAAGTTGCCTCATTTCCATTAAAAACTCTATAAACTCCAAAAAAGAAAAGCAGAATGTTATTTGTCCCTGGCTGAATAGGAGCCAGAAGTAAGGATTGTCTACTTAATGTGGGGTTTTCTTTTGGGGAAGTGAAAAAGTTCTAGAAATGGATGGTGGTGATTATTGCATTACACCATGAGTGTACTAAATACTGCTCAATTATTTATGGTAAAATGACACATTTTAGGGCTGGGGATTTAGCTCAGCGGCAAAAAGCGCCTGCCTGGCAAGCGCAAGGTCGTGAGTTCGGTTCCCGGTACCGGAGAAAAACCAAAAA